GTTTTTTTACAGCAGGATTTGCACGTTCATTCCTCACATCTGGCTGAGCTGCATGCAATTATTTCATCTGACCTGGATTTTCCATTCATTTCTACTCTCCGACCGTGACTAACCCCGAGTTAGCTTTCCAGGGTTTGAAGTGATTTTCCTTCCAGTACACAGCTAAGGTACATCGCACTCGGCTAAGCTGACTGCGGGGTACCTGCTGGTGTCACTCAGCCAAAACCGAGGGTTCGCACAGAATCTGCCTTCAGGACCCATGGATTTGCCGTTCATTAGGGATGAGCTCAAGCCACAGTCCAGATCCAAACTCTACCAAAGTTCTGGCTGTGATTTCAGCCCAGACCGTGCCAAAAGTACAGCGCATTCCCCCTTCAGCTAGGCACAAATCCCTTTATTCCAATGGGACAGGATTTGGCTCTCCAAATGCACGGCTAGTTACTTACGGTGCTGGGGGGTTACTCCGTCACTCCATCAGCGCAGATGGGGCCATTAAAGGAAATTTAGGCGCCAACTTCACTTTATTTAAATAGCTGCTAGTGCTCAGTTTGCTGCTCTCACCCCGTGGGGAGGAGGCTGGGGCAAAGGTTTGTTTCTCCAGCAGAAGCAGCTCAAGATTAAGGACCCGCCCAGAACGAATGAACACGAGAGAGCCATGCCCTGCAAGAGAGAGAATTAAAGTGGAGCAAAAATCTCTCTCCTCACACCACACTGTGGAAAACGGCAAGTCTCAAAGGAAAGGTCCAGCCCGTGGCGTGGTCCGTGCAGCCAAAAGCCATAGGCAGTGAACAGAAGAATTGGATCGATGGGTGACCAATGTGTAGCGCTCTTGTGCCTACCAGTCTGGGCACCTACCATCACACTCACGCGGAGCATTCCATTGAAAAAAGCGTGACTGATTTCTAAAGAATTTGGTGGGCCCTCTGTGGAGGGAGATGGGGAACCGAAGCACAGAGAGACGACACGACTTGCCCAAAGTCACACAGGAAGGCTGTGGCAAATCAGGGAATTAGACCCAAGTCTCCCTAGTCCCAGGACAATCCTTGGGCTCTACACACAGAGTCGTACCTGTTTAACTAACAGTGTGAATCTAAATAGATTTAGCTAAACCAACACAAACGTCTGAGTGGATGCTCTTGGTTTACTTCAAACGAGAACAGGCTTAAATTAAACTAAAATAATCCGCTCTTAAAGCACAATAGGAGTGTCCACACAGGGGTTTGCACCGGTGCGACTGTGTGTGTAGACAAGGTCACAATTCCCGTACTACACACTGGCCTTTCAGCAGGGTGAGATTATCACAGCAGCTGCTTCTGCTCTTTCCAGTAATTAGATCCAGTTTTGAAGTTTCCCAGGGGAGCAGGATGGGGCCAGAGGAGAGGGAAGATTTATTACTCAGCTGCCTGAAATCTTTGGTTTTCTGCTGAACTGAATTGATGACAGTTCCATGGGAAGCGCCCTCTGCAGAGCACTGCATTCTCCAGCAGAGTAAGGGGATGAACGGCTGGACATTTGGTGGCAGTTCACTGATTAGTGCAGCGAGAAAGGGGACAGATCATATCCTTTTGCGCAATGCACTGTACTCTGTTGGACAAAGATTGAAACCACATGAAGTGCCTTGGACTCCTCAGCACAAGGGAATGATACATGGTTTGCTGCAGCTGCTCCAAAGTGGGGGTTTTGGGGGAGGGGGAGAAAGAGAGAGAGAGATAATTGATGCAATTCCAATGAATGCACCAATCGGGTCAGGAGAAATAGGATTCTCTCACATACGGTGACAAGCCAGGCGCACAGAAAAGTGACTGTGTAAAAATGGCCCCAATTAGCTCCAAAGATCGATTTTTGGTTGTATCTTCAAGTCACATCTACGGAGCTTTCTGCAAAGACAGGTTTTCCTCCCGCTAGCTAGGGGGGAAGCAGCTGGATGCTATACTGCTACATACCTCAACAAACTCATCAGCCAAAACCTTTGCTTTCCTAGGATTCGTAAACGCATTGGCACCATGGGTGTGAGGAGGTGGGAAAGCGGAGTACCATGATGTTCCTGGCAAATGTGGATCTCCTCAGAAGAGTAGGTCGGAGGCACTAAAAGAAAGGAACTAAGGAGTAGAAAGCTGGGCCTTTGTGCCTATTGCAGAGGATTTGGAATGAAGAGACCTGGGTCTATTCCTGGCTCTGTCACTGATTTGCTGGGTGACTCTGGGCTGCTTCTCAGCTTCCCACAGGTGGAATGGGAATGATACATGTCAATCTTGCAGGAGTTTAAGTTACGAGGTTTAATTCGTGCCTGCAAAGCACATGCAGGTCTCTGGCTGGATGTTGCTAGAGAAGAGTGAGGCTCAGATACTATGGTGACAGGAGCTAAATAAAAATGAAGGTAGATAATTAGTATACGGCGTCCCAGCTCACCTGATGCACAAGCTTTGAACGTGCTGATGCTATTAGATCTACATTGAAAATCTGCAGTATATCAGGGCAATGGACCATCACTGCCCAGAGAGCAGAGTCTGGACATGGTCAGAATTAAGGAGAACGGGCTCACTCAAAAAGCCAGCCAGCTGCACCAGGAGTCTCCCCATGCATGCCCAGTCAGTCACCCTGCCTAGAAGGAAGGGTAGGAACTTGACTCTTCCCCTCTCAGCTCAGCTGTGTTCCTGGAGCTCTCCTTGTCCTCCTGCATCTTCTCTTCTGCTGCCAGCGAACTTTGGCACAAGGCACCATGGCTTACAGGGTGTTCTTGGGAGTGAGAGCCCCTGGAAACGGTGCTTCTGCTCTGGGTCCCAATATGCTTCTCTGGCCTGACCTCCCTTCAGCCTCATCCTTACCAAACTAGCTCCTCTCAGCATACAAAGAATCTGTGCCTCCATGTATAGTCAGAAGCAGGTTTGCTACAAGTAAATCACTTTGCTAGGATAGGGCTCCAGCATTTGTTCCATTTGAATGCATTCACATGCAGGCTACTAACTGCCCTGATTCAGAATCCTTTGGACAGCCCAGAACCACTGACTTCCCCAGAACCTGTTATCTCCATGTTCTCTCTGGAGTTGGCCGACACCCCATGTTTCTGATTCACTCTCTGGGTTTCTGTGGGCATGTCGTCCATCAACAGCCACCATCTCAGAGTCATGTTCCCGAGAGAAGACAAAGTTTTGAGTCGCTTAAAGTCTTCTATGCAGTCTGAATTCCCGAGAAAATGTCTTAAGCCGTGGGAGAAGGGGCTTAGAGCTGCTAGGAAGATGGAGGAGAGTGGATACGGCTCAATTTTTAAATACCATTCATAAATCAGTGCCCAGAATCCCATAAGAAATTAAAAGGATTGCAATTTTCCTAGCTGGCCTCATGGTGTCTCCATAACTCCATTTGGATCTAACAGACACAAATTGGCTTTCCCATACTTACCTCTGACAGCAGGGACATGAGAAGGGGTGGACACCTTGTAGCTGTGGTAGGGGAAAGCATAAGGATGGAAATATGTAACTTACTGTCCCTCTTCACCTCTCAGCATGATACCAGTGTGTTGTCTCCTCTTGATGGAACGGGTAGTCCTCACTGTTCTCTTTTGATACCGAGCCTGGACTCATGGGCCCTTGGTCATGGGCTGAATTTGCTGGTTTGGCTTGGCAAATGCAAAGCATTTATAGTCCATGGAACTCTCCAACCCAGTGAGAATTTACTTATCTTTGCAATAAAAAGAGGCCATTTTCCATGAGGGTATATAGATTTCACTTCACATCAGGGGGAATGCTAAAGGCATTATTTTGGCAAGAGTAAAACCAAGAATTCAACAGCAACATCATGCAGAACGATTGGTGAAAAAAACCCAATGAGGGGGATATTTTCAAAAGCACCTAGGTTATTTGGAAGCACAAGTCCCATTGACTTTCAATGGACAGTTCAGCATTGTATAGAAGAGTTATAAACTTCCTCCTTCCTTTGTCTCCTTCCTGAAGGGACCATGTCTAAGGGTGGTAGGATATTTCTGTCTCGCGGGTCCATTTGGCCCTGGACTCTTGGCTAAGTAATGTCATTCAGGGGCCCAGTTTTGCTGATGTGGATATCTGTCTGCCAGGACAGGGACTGAGCTCAAACAGCCATCAAACTGTGACAACTTAAAGATGAAAGGCAATGCAGGCCATTCCCCATCTCCTGAGCCACCCAGTCCCCAAATACAATCACAGGGAGTCCATTATCACAGAGATGTTCCTTGTCAAAAAGTGATCTGGCACTTGCAAATCTAAATCCCATCGACTGTCAATGGGACTTAGGCTCCTAACGGCCTAAATCACTTCTGAAAATGGTTTAAGCTCATAAACCACTTTGACATTGCAACACTGCAATGCCTAAAATATCTTTACAATCTCGTCCTAGGTCACTATTGATGATTTTAGAAGAAATGGCCATCTACTCTGGTGCCGTGGGTGGAGGTTGGAATTGCGTCGGGTATCAGCCTTTTGGTGTCCTAAGTCTGACCCATGACTACAATCCATTATCGAAAACATGACAATGTGTCATAGAAATGGGAGCAAGGTACGTTTTCAACAGGCATGGGCAAAAGATGGCCAGGTAACGTAAGACCAATGAGCAACCAAAACCTCCATGCAAAAATTCAATCCAAACCTCTGAGAAGTTCAAAATCCAAAATCTGTAATATTTTTATGTTTCTGTGCTTCTGGGTTTCAGGTAGATAGAGAAGTGCCAAAATAGCCTAAGAAAGGCCATTTTCATGAGCTCTCAGATCCAGTCTGGCAGAGCAGTTCCGACACTTCAGATGATCATGAGAACTTTTCCAGTGCTCATCCAAACCCAACTACCAAACTTGATGAGAGTGTCCCAGAGTTGGATTTCACTTTGGCCTTACAGAGTGTGATAACCAAGGACGGGACGTCAGCATTTTAGGAACAGTTCCAAGGCAGAGGGCAAAAGAAGTTGAGAAATAACAAGCTGAAAAATACTCAGTGAAAATATTTGTTTTAAAATGACTAAGTCTAAGCACAATGGAGTTTTATAAAAACCTTGCCACTGTATTGCACTAAATCAAGTATTCACAATAGACTCGGCAGACACACTGTACAGTAATTCTGCTATCAGCACGTTTACTTACAGAGGAGATGCTCTATATGCAGAACCAAAGCTGAATTTAACAGAGTAAAGACTGAAGTGCTGTTTTGTCTAAGGAAATCCATCTGTCTGGACTGGTTGGAATTTAAAATCCTAGGTTTTCTTATTTCTTCTTCAAGTAATGAATTGTCCAAAGCCAGCCAGCCAACAACTTTCCAGAGGTGACCCTGTTTCTGTTTTGTTCTCATACACACAAACACAGACTCTCTCTCTCTTCCCCCCACACTTTCCAGAAGTCTGCGTCATCTTTTCATAACTATAGTTATCTCCCATTTCTATAGTGCATCCCCTCCCAAAGTGCTTTACAAACAAACTGATACACAAACTATGCCTGGGAATTGTTTGATCCAGCAGTGAAATGCAGCCACCTCTGGAGTGAGAAGCAGCAGCTGTTTAACAGCATACAGCTACACCGTATGGCAGGAGGTGAAGAAGCATATTCGGTAGGCCACATTTAAGCAGCCAAACTGGAATTTGGCCAAGACACAAGGATTATTACTATTGAACATTTATATGGTGGTAGTCCTTAGAGGGCAACCAGACTATACAGCACCTAACACAATGGGACCTCAAACAGATGGAAAATAAAACAGTCCCTGCCCCAAAGAGCAGTTGACACCTACTCTTACACACAAGGGTCATGGAGTCTTTAATTACCATATTTGATCAGGACACACACACACACACACACACACATACACACACACACACAAAATATCTAGGCCAAATCTTCTGCTGGTGTCAATCAGTGCAGTTCCACTGAAATCAATACAGCTTCATCGATTTACAATTATGAATCTGTCCTTCTCTTTCTATACATACATAAAACAAAGTATTTAAAATCCCAACTGAGCGTGAGTGGAGAAGCGATAAAAACAGGCTTTGCCACAGAGAAATACTAGATCACAAGAAGACATCGATGGCTCACATTCCCCCTTCCTCAATCAATGGGAAAGGGGGCAGCTTGGGGGAAGGGAGAAGAACAAAGAAAAGAATACACATTAAATTATTGCTTTTCTCATCATCCTCTGCAAAATTCTGACAGTCCTCTTCCCTGTGCCCATCAAAGGTTGAGATCCCTCTTGTGATAGGGCTGCAAACAACCCAGTTAATGGGACAGGCCGTGAAGGGAGCCTACCCCAATAAGCAGCCTTCCCGAGATTCAGATCTGCAGTGAATTCTCTTAGCATCTAAAGGAAACACAAAAGTTGAACGTTTAAACAATAGCAGCCTGCTTCTGTGAACAATCAACCGCAGGCACTGAAATGGGCTAAGGGTGCTTCGGCCCAAGCGTTCCACGTGCTAATCAACAAGGCAGCCTCTCGCCACATGGTCAGTCCCAATGAGGGCATCGGCATGTGACGCACGTGCTTGAAGTGGAATGGAGAGGCAGAGAGGAAAGGAATTAACCAAACAGCGAGGATGTGGGGGAAGGTGGGAGGTGCCTTGAGTAGCTAAGAACGGGTGAGGCCCCCAGTTCTCTAGGGCCCCCCTACCACCACCCTCATCGGAGGCGCAGGTATGATGGGATTGAGTAGTTGAAGAGCAAGTAATCCATTTTGTATAAATTAAAGAGTTTCCTTTGGTAGAAGGGGCTGATGTCCTCAAAAAACTGGGCTGTCATGTCGTCTGTGGTCCTGGTGGTCTTGGAGGAAGAGGGGAACTTGACACTGGCGTCTGCCCCTACCAGCTGCAGGACATAGTTGGCGTCCTCGGCCAGTGTCTCGTACTTGCCCACCACATCGTAGTGAATGATACAGGGGTGGCACAGCGAGTGCACCCGCTCCCAGTGCTCGTTGAAGGGCTCCTCGTGTTGTGTGCGCGGGTCCAGCAGGTAGTAGACGAACTCCTCGAAGCGCACGTCATCACCACGCTCCAGGGCTTCGTTGCTGGGCTCCTGACGGTGCCGACGGATGATCTTAGTGCCGTAGCGCTTGTGGAAGGCCGTGTTGTAGTGGCGGGTGAACTTGTTGCGGTAGGCCGAGACCAAGCGCTCGAAGGGTTCCCGCACAAAGATGAACTTGAGGTAGTTGCGCAGGCGATGGTTGATCTCGGGAGTGCTGTACTCGGAGAGGGTGCGCAGGTTGGACGAGACATGGGCCTCATTGGCTGGGATTTCCAGAGGGTCCCGATACTTGCCCTGTCCAGTCAGAACCATCATGACTCGCTTCCAGTTGGTGCAGGCCACCTTGGGCACGTAGCAGTAGAGCAGCCCATGCACGTCATCCACCACCAGGTGGCGCAAGTCATCAGGCGTCAGGAGGCGCCGCTTGCGGGTGTAGCGGCTGCAAACGCTGCTCAGCAGGTCCCGCCTCTGCTGGTGAGTGGCCTGCAGTGATGACTGCTCGAACTGGGGAGAGACAAGAGGGAAATTGTCATTGCCCGACTGAACTTAACATGGAGTTGGGCTCCAGCCAGACACACTGAGTTCAGACACGGGAATCAGGGCATGAAGTCCATGTTCCCTCCCCGCTGTGGTGTAACATGCGTTCCCCTCCCCAGCATTGGGTGCTGCTTCTAGGCTATGGAGTTCACCTGTGTGGGCTTTTTGCCTTAGTTCTGAGCTTCGATTGCTGTGAGGCACTTGACACTTAGATCCAGTGGGGAAAAGGGAGGAGGGTGGAAGCAAATAGAAAGTGAGAGAACGCACAGGCTTGTAAAAAATGGAGCAAAGTGAAATTCTAATTTAAAAATTGCTATAATATATACATACTGAGTATAGACTGGCCACTTGTGCTAGCACAGATTAAGGGGTCAGGAGGGAGGTTCCTAATACAAGGAATTGGCTTCCCTTTGGCTAGGGGAAAATTAAATTGAACTGAGTCACCCATAAAGGAAAAAGCATGAATGTAGAGGGGGGATCTGTAAAGGCCCAAGGGGCAGCCAGGTAGACGTCCATTGAAAGTCAAAGGGAACTGGACACACAACCCTCACTCGTGTCCTTGGAAATCTCTCCTTGAAATTTGCGGGCAGGGGAGTTTGGAGGAAGCTTCATGGACTCAAGCTACAATCCCTTCCACCAGCCTTGCTTAGGAGTAGGGTGACCAGACAGCAAGTGTGAAAAATCGGGACAGGGGGTGGGGGTAATAGGAGCCTGTATAAGAAAAAGACCCCAAAATCTGAATTGTCCCTATAAATCAGGACATCTGGTCACCCTACTTAGGAGCCTGCCTACGCATCCTCCTGTGGGATGGAGTCTGGGGATATTCTATGGGCTGGGGGCAGGCTGGGTGAAGGTGAGCAGCTGGGGTTCCCAGGGGAGTCTCCAACACATGGCTTAGGTCCCATATTAGGGGCAGTTCTGGAGTTAGATTCAAGGGCACGTTTTCAGAGAGGTGTTGGGAGCAGCAGGGAACTGGGAGGGAGAATGAGCTGTTTCCAAGTCCCATGCTCTCTGGATGGCAGAGTCAGGAGCCCTGCATCACCCAGCTTTGTCAGCACTCCTTAGGCTGGAGCCTGTAGGGTCAGAACATCCTTGGGTTTCGTGGAAGGGGCAATTATGGCTCCGGGAGCGGAAGAACATTCGGTCTCTAGCACCCCTGGGATTGAACGTGCATGCCTTGCAGTGACGAGGGCCTGCACGGGCTGTGGCTGGAAGGGAGCGTGACCCGTAGAGCGGCTCGGCCTGAAGGCACAAACCATTCTGAGGCCTGCCCTATGCCTAATACAGGAAGCGAAGAGGGGGCCTTTGGCACTTGCCCTGCAGAGGGGATAGGCAAAGGAACAGCCCCATTTGAGGGCCTCCTGCAGTGCAGAGGGGAGCGAAGAAACTCCATACAAAGATGGGAAGGCAGGGGGTGATGAGAGGCTGTTGTCGCAGAGCCAGACAGCATCAACCTTGCTGCTAAAGCCATTTGCTGGGCTGCCTGCTGAGATATTGGCTTGGCAACACCCACGGCTCCCCCTGACCAGAGGGGTGGGGGTGGGGGGGTTAGACCTGCATTGGCCTCAGTTCTCCCCTCTCACAATTATTCTCCTGGGGTCAGCAGACAAGGAGAGCAGATGCCCCTGAGTCGCTTCAACGCCCCCATCCCTTTTCTATCAGGCCAGCTCAGCATCTGTAACTGGAGTGGTCCCATCGGCAGCATGACATGATTGTGATCACACCTGTCTTGAGATGCCTCCAGGAACCCAAACACCCTCCCCCATTCCCCTCACTTTGCATTCCTTTCTGCCTGAGCTGTCTGCAGAGCCAAGGCTTGGCAGCGGTCAGCTACGTGGCCCCAGGCTGGGCTGGGCAGGGCAAGTTCATTAACGGGAGGCTCAGGTTCCTATTTGAGTTCTTCCCCCACCATTGCACAAAGCAGCTGCCATGCATGGTAGGGACGTGTCTCTCCTCCTCCTCCAGTGCCACATTCCCCAACACAGCCCCGCTCTGCAGCAGGATGCAGGCAGAAGGCTCAGGTTTCAGCCCAGGAGTGCTTCATTTACATTTTCTCTCATATCCCTCAAGTCTTTGTATCCTCCTCTCCTCCCCCACCAGCTCTACTGCTTTGCTAAAAGCCGAACAGAGATGTCTCTGGACCGAAATCCCAGCTACAGACCCCCCCAAAACTTTGGGTAAGATCAGATCCAACTGTAAACCCTAAGGCTGGGGAAGTTTGGATCTCTGAGCTCCGTAGCAGGAATTCACTTCTCACACTGTAATGTCTCAAACCACTAGAACCATGCGATTTCAAAGGGAAACCACTGCCAGGAAGCTATCAGGAGGAGATCCCCGTCCCTCTCCTGCCCACCCGCTCCCATCAATGCTGGCCGAGAGGCAGAAGACAACTGCTGTGGCTTCTCCATACCACTCAGGGCTGGCCTTATAAGGGAAACTTCCAGGCTGGTCCCAGAGTGTTACCAACCCAGACTACGATGACAGTTAAGTAACTACCACTCCCACCGCTAAAAGAAAAAAAACCTGCTTTTGTGCAGCTGTCGCTTTACCACGATGATGGCTCCCATGTTGCAAGCCGAGGGGGTCTTCCACTTCAGACTCTGCTCCTCCAGACAGGCACCCCGCTGTCCGGGAAAATAGCTGCTCACTGTCCTATTTCTGGAGCCTGGGATTCACTTTGTTTCCCTTCACATCCCTCTGTTCCTGCACCTTTCACCACCCAAACCACAGAGGGATGGATCTTCCGCAGGACTGGGAACAACCCCATGGCTTGGCATTTGAATTGGCCTCCCTCTGAGCATCCCTTACAGTTTAAACTGCTCAGCCTTGTCTACAAGGCCCTACAGAGCTCCTTGCTGGCCTACTTCTCTGACCTGATTGCTTATCGCACCACCTGCCTCCCCTCCTCCTCCCCACCAATAATGCCTCAGAGTCTTAGTTCTTTTCTCCCACAACCATCTCCTGCCCTTTTCTCCATGCCACCCCCACGCAAGGAATACCCTTCCAGTTACTGCTCTCCAAGCCACCACAGGGGTCGACCTGCACAGGTGTGACAGTGCTCTGGCAAACTGATCCTTTTCTCCTGCGGGTGTCCCACGGGGAGAGCAGGGGATGCGGCAGGCCAGGCCTGAGGTGCAGGGGAGCTGGATGGGGACCCCAGACTACAATAACAGGAACAAACTGGAAGTCAGGCTTGAGGTGCTTCAGCTAAGATGGGGGGAACAACCCCTGGACTGGACTAGGAGGGTGCTGTAGGTTAGGACGGAGGTGCATTGGCAAAGTTGTGCAGGGAAAGCTTACACAATGACCCTTCCATTTGATAAACACATGCCCCGTATTCTTTCTGGGTCTCCAGGTGTTTTCCCCAATATTTGTGGACCTCAAAAACTCAATAATAATAATAATAAAAAAGGTTGCCCTAAAAACATTCCATCCCTGTAATCAGGTTCTGGCTGGATGCTCCTTCAGTAGCCAGCAAGACTGGGATCATTATTCTGTCAGCCCGGCTCACCACGCATGGAGAGAGTTCCCGCCTCATGAGGTAAGGTGCAACCAGACCTTTGCCTTCCTCACATTCTTGCTCCTGAAGCTTCCTGACAGCTGTCGGCCATTGTTACATCACCCTCCCTCCCCCAGGAGCCCGTTTGCTTAGCCCAGGCTGCCTGCATGGACCCCAGCCAGCCTGTCAGTCCCTGTAAGGCTCACCTCAAGCTCCTTCTTAGACTGGACAGGCAAAGCTGTGGGTGCTTTGCTAGCTGGGAGCTTTCTAAACACAGCACTTGGGACCCTGGGACCCAATACAAACCTTCCATCCCGTTGACGCTTTGCATTTAGGCTCCTACATTGAAACCCACTGATTCATCGCTACAAGTTGCACTGTGCGGGAGGAAGCTTTCACTGGAAAGAGCTCACCCCCACAGCAGGCCCATAACCTTTGTAGATGTTTATGTGGGTACCATATAGGCAACTGAAACCACATTGTGCAGTCTATATGGTTTTATAAAAATATGCTAATGGGTGAATATAATGTAACTGGAATATGCTTCATGCAAAAGGTCTCTTGTAAGGTATCATTACAAAGCTTATAATCTACTGAGTGTGATCATCCTATTTGTATAAATGTACCACTCTTGTATCTAGGACTAGAAATATGAAATATAACTCTGAGGGCCTATTGTAATTATGCAAAGTGTGGGCCATTAATGGTGGTTTGGAATCTTAATGGCTCCCATCAACCAGGGCAATTGACTGGGGCTCTGTTTGCAAGCAAGCCTTCCTGTGAGTCAGGCTGGGAGGAACGAAGGGGCCTCCTGCCGGTCCCTGCGAGGGCGGCAGTCAGGCAGCCTTCGGCGGCATGCCTGAGGGAGGTCCACCGGTCCCGCGGATTTGGCAGCAATTCAGCGGTGGGTACACCAAAGCCACAGGACCGGCAGACCTCCCGCAGGCATGCCGCCGAAGGCTGCTTGCCTGCTTGCCATGCTTGGGGAGGCAAAAAAGCTAGAGCCGCCCCTGACAGTGACATGTGATCATGTCACATGAACTGGAATCCATCTTTAACCTGGTGCTTTTCCAGTGGGGGGGGGGTGGAAACCCAGAGAGAGACAAAGGATTCCCGTCTTATGCAAAAGATATATAAAGGGGTGGAAGAGAACAAAGAGGGAGAGAAGCCATCATGAAGAATCCCCTAGCTACCACCTGAGCTGGAACAAGAGCTGTACCAGGGGAAAGAATTGTGTCCAGGCCTGGAAGGTGTCCAGTCTGAGAAAAAACTTACTGAAGCATCTCTGAGGGTGAGATTATCTGTATTCAGTTTGATTAGACATAGATTTGCACATTTTATTTTATTTTGCTTGGTGACTTACTTTGTTCTGTCTGTTACTACTTGGAACCACTTAAATCCTACTTTCTGTATTTAATAATATCACTTTTTACTTATTAATTAACTCAGAGTATGTATTAATACCTAGGGGAGCAAACAACTGTGCATATCTCTCTATCAGTGTTATAGAGGGCGAACAATTTATGAGTAAAACGGATTTATTTGGGTTTAAACCCAATTGGGAGTTGGGCATCCGAGTGCTAAAGACAAGCACACTTTTGTGAGCTGTTTTCAGGTAAACCTGCAGCTTTGGGGCAAGTAATTCAGACCCTGGGTCTGTGTTGAGGCAGACGGGAGTGTCTGGCTCAGCAAGACAGGGTGCTGGAGTCCTGAGCTGGCAGGGAAAACAGGAGCAGGGGTAGTCTTGGCACATCAGGTAGCAGCTCCCAAGAGGGTTTCTGTGATTCAACCCGTCACACACACGCAACATCTCTGTTCAAAAACATAGTCAGCAGGACCCATACTAATTGTAAATGGAAGCAGGGCTAAAATAAAGTATCCGTTCTCTGCTATTAACTCATTTTTTTCTCCCAACAGGGAAATACCCCAGATCCTGAGCGGGTATAAACTGTCATAGCTCTTCTGACACCAATGGAGCTATGACAATTTACACCAACTGAGGTTCTGCCCCATTGTACCTGGCTGGCTACGTGGAAGTCACGCCATTAGCATCTTGTTTGTGATGTTACAGATATGGCCAAAGAGGCATTTTTATTCTTAGGCCTGGATTTCAGATACTTCCTGAAAACAATCACCCTCTGGTTTGAAATTTCTCTTGTGCGGTCTCAGCTCAGAGGGTTGTTTTTTTTTGTTTTTTTTTCCCTTCATCCGTAGCCATTTCTGTGAGTGAAAACAGTACAGAGTGTTTCATGCTATAAGACAGTTAGTCAAGTGGTTTTTTTTGTACTTGCTCAAAACCATGGGGGATGGAGGGATGGCTAAAAGTATGCATGCACAGCCCCAAAGAAATGCAGCTGGATTTCACCAGTTACCCAATGGAGAAAGTGCACGTCTTGTATTTCTCTCAGTGCAAAACTGCTCCCTTCATTTCCTTCTTTTTAAAAACCAATGACATTAAGTATCAGTTTTTCAAAACCCCAACTACATTCCTGGAGCAGTAGGTCTGAGACTTTGAATGCACCAGAGCCAAGACATTCCACATTTACCACTTCTCCAGAGCAAATGTAATGCAGCCACATTAAGGCATAAAAGCCATTACATGGGCATAAGAGGGACTCATTACAGTTGTCATGGGAACCATTAACTGCCTTTCCTGGAGTTGTGTTCATGTTCATTCTCAACAATAATGCTGCACAATGAGGTTGTGGGGGGTGAATTTGATTTCAGAGGGATGAGTTTTAGGCTGGCCCCGCACACACCTCAGAGATCAACATGGTGAGGATAACATGGATAGTTCTTTCTAGATCTCTGATGCCTCCAGCCCTCTGGTCCCTCCATGGCTGCTAGCAGTTTGCCAGCCACGTGACAGAGTATAACCTGTAGAGTATAACCAGGAACTCTGGCCCGGAGCAGACTTGTGAGTAGGGGCTGATACCTATGATATCCCGAGTGGCACTACTGCCCCGTTACAATGCGTTTATGGGATGTTTGGGAGTTGGTGAGGTGAGCTGGTGTCATGCCATCACGACCCAGTGTCATGGTGATGCAGAGTCACTGCACCATAAACCCAGTTGGGGGCATGTTAATGGGCTAAGTTGGCTGGGCGGTTGGCAAACCAGGACTCTCCTAGAGAACAGGGGGGCTGAGTGGAGACCCCTGCTGGGGATTATGACATTCAGGGGAAATTGATATGTCATTGCCCCTCTCTGACACTCAGAATGCTCTGCCTGGGCATTATGGGGAGGAAGGTCAATGGAAAAACACCACAGCGAGCAGCAGATCTCTGCTCAGCAGTGCTGATGCAGAAGTTGGTCCCTCAGTTTCTGGGTCAGCGGTGGCTAACAGCATCTCCACGGACCCCCCAAGTGACACCCCCAAAAGTCAACGGCTGGGTAGCTGTGTCAGGCTCTGGAGAGAACTGGGGCCAGCCCTCCTCATTTGTGGAAAAGTTCAGGGAACCCTTGAGGGTGCGGTAGATCCCACAGGATTCCCCCCCCAAGGCCTTCCCTCAGCCCCCTCATCAAAACACTGTCCCTCTCTGCTCTGTGCTGTTGCTCCTGGCTCATGGGGGGAGGGGAGGGGTGTACTGTCCTCTCATTCTTGAGCCTTTTACCTGGATTGCTAACAAAAGATGAAAACGCCTCAAAGCATGCAAGCCCCTGACAGTAACCATCAAGCACCCAAACTTGGGAGAGTGGAGAAGCCTGTGCCTACCGCCCCTGCTATCTTGGGCCACTGGGATTCTGTGCTGGCTGCAGGAGCATGTCAGAAGCCTGCCTGTGTCCTCTCCCTCCCCTTGCCGGCAGCCAGGAAACCTGGGCTGTGCAGTGAAAGGACCGCGCTCCATTCATTCTCCCCCTCTGCGAACCATCTGTAAAGTCAACAGTGCTCAGACAGGAACCCAAAGGGGAGGCATGTGCTGAATGCTGAGCTGGTCTCTGGCAGCGTCTACTACTGATGTGCTTGCCAGCCACTTAGAAGGCTGGGAGCCCAGAGCCCATGTCCAAGAGGGCAAGAAGCAGACCAAGAGCTCTGGTGAGGAAGAGGCTGAGAGTGGCCCTGCGTTTTCTGGGATTGTTGGGGAGATGGGTCCCGTCAAGGTTTCAGAAACGGCAGTTGGTGTCCGCACGTCTTCTGTCATGATACATGGGTCTGGCCTTCCAGCCACACGGTTAAAGGCGACAGCACATGCCTGGTTTCCAGTGAGATGCTGGCCATCTGAATGGGAGGTCAGGTGGGCGCTTTCTTTTAAAGAATGCTTTGACTGCAACAGACATAGTGTTAAGCAAGACAAGGCTGTTATCCTGCATTTATTTTTCCCTGTTCTAGCTCGTGAGGCTCTCATAGCACTTTACAAGAGTGAAAGAATTAAGGGCTGGAGCACCCACGGGGAAAAAATGGTGGGTGCTGAGCACCCACCGGCAACCCCCCAGCAGCTCTCACCTACCGGCAGGCCCCGCAAATCAGTGCCTCCCTCTCCCTCCCTGCGCCTCCCACCCACCATGATCAGCTGTTTTGCGGCATTCAGGAGGCTCTCGGACGGAGGGGGCAGGAATAAGGACACAGCCCTCTCTGGGGAGGGGGTTGGACTAGGCAGGAAGAGACGGGGCGGGGTGGAGCGGGCACAGGGCTTTAGGGGAAAGGGTGGAGTGGGGGCGGGGCCTGGGGCAGAGCCGGAGGTCGAGCACTCCTCGTCACTTTGGAAAGTCGGCGTCTGTGAGGCGTGGTATAGTTGATCATCTAATCTGGTGTCTTGCTGGGACTAGGGCTTGGGTGGAGATGAGACAGCTACAACACAATCCACAGATGACTGTGGTTTACTAAGGGCGTGTCTACACGTACAGTGCTGCAGCTGCGCCACTGCAGCATATCTGGTGAAGATGCTCTATGCCTCCAGGAGAGAGCTCTCCCGTTGGCATAATAAAACCACCCCCGTGAGCGACAGAAGCTGCGTCGGAAGGAGAAGCTCTCCCACTGACATAGGGCTATCCACACCGGCGCTTATGTCAGTGTAACTTATATCATTCAGGGGGATGGTTTATTCACACCCCTGAGGGATATAAATTCTGCTGACATAAGCTGTAGTGTAGATGTAGCCTGAGGGTATGTCTATACTACCCGCCGGATCGGCAGGTAGCGATCAATCCAACGGGGGTCGATTTATCGCGTCTAGTCTAGACGCGATAAATCGATCCCCGAGCGCTCTCCCATCGACCCCTTGTTGCGGAGTGTGGGGGAGTCAGGGCCCTGCACCCCTCTTCCCGAGATTCACTGCGACTCTCAACCAGCCAGTAAAGCAGAAGGTTTATTCAAGGACAGGAACACAGTCTCAAGCAGAGCGTGTAGGTACGACCAGACCCCCTCAATTAGGTCCCTCTGGGAGGTTCAGGGAGCTTAGACCCCAGCTTGGGGTTCCCTGCGTTGCACCACCCAGCCCAAACCGAAACTAACCTCCAAACTCCTCCTGCT